CATCTTGTGAACCGATAAACAAACGGTGGTATATCCACACACTGATTATTCATTGGCGATAAAAAAGAATTAAGTACTGATACTTGCTATATCATAGATGAACTTTTTTGAAAACATTATGCTAAGTGGAAGCCAGCCACGAAAGGCCACATATTGTGTAATTCTATTTATATGACATGTCCAGAATAGGCGAAACCAGGAAGACAGAAAATAGATCAGTGTTTGCCTAGGGCTGGGGGACAAGAAGGGGGTTGCTAAAGGGTGCGAGGCTTCCTTCTGGAGAAAAATGTTCTAGAACTATTTGTGGTAATGACTGCGTAACTACGAGTACGGTAAAAACCACTGAGACGTGTACTTTAAAGGGGTGAACGGAATGGTATGTGAGTTGCATCCCAGTAAAGCTGTTTAAAAAAGAAAAAAAAGAAAAAAAGAAAATCATGCTACAGAACAGCAGAGCCTAGTGGCATAGACATTTGCTCAGCAAATGGAAGCAGAAGACACAGTCACCTAAGTGCGTGTCTCCATCCCTCTCTCTCTCTCTCTCTCTCACACACACACACACACACACACACACACACAGGTAACATACCATGGAAGGCTTTCGGAGGAGGTAATATCTGAGTTTAAAAAGCCCGTGTCTGGCGGGGGCTGAGCAGAGGGTAGGCCAAGGAGCTGCAAGCCCGTCCGTGTTAACGAGAAAGCCCACTTTCCACGGCTGGGCCTCAGCACTGCGTGCTCCCTTTGGATGGAGACCATGTCTCATTCCACTCTCAGTGTTGGAGGTGATCAGGGTGCCTGACACGTAAAAAATCAGCCCTGTGAACCTCAGCTTTAAATATTCAAATATTTATTTACGCTGTTTAGAATACAGTAGTGATCAAGAAAGACTGCGTCCTGCCCTCATGAGGCTAATATTAAATATATGAGGAAAAACGAAGCTGACTAAAAAGAAGAGATGACAGGAATGCCCATTCTAGAGAGAGAGGTCAGGGCAGGCCTCTCGCACAAGGTGCGTGGCACCTGAAGGAAGTGGGTGAACCCTGTAGATGCTGAAGGAGAGGAGGTGGCATGACCAAGGCCCTGAGGGGGCGTGAGCTGTGACACGAACAGCAAGACTGCCATGGGGGCCGAAGGCAAAGCAGCATGTTCGGGGAGCTTGGGGGGGGTGCCGGGCCTCAGGCCAGGGGGTCCTGCTGGATCCCACATGCACGATGCAGCCCCGGGAGGGCTCTTAGCAGGGGAAGGGCGTGAATGGGTTTGTGTTTGGAAAGGATGGCTCTCTGACTACCTTGCAGATTAGCCAGAGAAGGGAAGAGGCAGGAGTGGAAACCGGGAGACAAGCGTGAGGACTTGGTGCTAGTGGAGGAAGGGTGAGGAACAAGTGGACCAAAAAGCGACTTGAAGACCCGTGGGTCTGACGTGTGTGACGGAGGAGAGGGGTCGAGGATGAGCTCAAGCCGAGCAGGCAGCTAGGTGGGTGGTGGCAGCACTGAGGGACAAGGAAGAGGGGAGGAAGGGTCTGGGGGGGAAAGAGCAAGAGAGCCTGTGAGCTCTGAGACGCCCGTGGGATGTCCAAGGGAAGGCAACAGGGAGAGACCAGCATGGAGGCTGACACGTGGGCAGGATTCACCCACAGATGTGACTGGAAGCCCTGGGACGGGAAGGGACTGGCTAGGGTGCTGGTTCTAAATAGGGGAAGACTGCCCCCTCGAGGCTACTTGGAAACTTCAAGGTCTGTTTTCGGTTGTCAGTAATCCTGGGGGTGCTATGGCATTAGCAGGAAGGGAGCAAGGAATCTAGATGTCCTGCAATGTCCCACAAAAGGAAGAATAATTCTTCTTCTTCTTCTTCCTTTTTTTTTTTTTTAAGTAGGCTCCTTGCCCAGTGTGGAACCCAACATGGGGCCTGAACTTATGACCCTGAGATCAGGACCTGAGCGGAGATCAAGAGTTGGACACTTAACTGACTGAGCCACCCAGGCGCCCTAAGGAAGAATTATTCTTAATCCTCTGACTTTAAAATGCCCTGAGAAACATGCATGTAGCAAAGAAAAATCTGTTCATAATGATCTGAGCTGAGAACCTAACTCCATTTTACATATAAATCCAAAGACTTTTAGGGGCTCCTGGGTGGCTCAGCTGGTTAAGCGGCTAACTCTTGGTTTTGGCTCAGGTCATGCTCTCAGGGTCCTGGGATCGAGCTCTGCATTGGGCTCTGCACTCAGCGGGGAGCCTGCTTAAGAGTCTCTCTCCCTCTCTGTATGCCCCGCCCTCCCCCCCACACCCCCGCTTTCTCTAAAATAAATTTTTTTTTTTAAGATTTTATTTATCCATTCGAGAGAGCAAGCAAGAAAGCACGAGCAGGGGGAAATGGGGGGAGAGGGAGAGGGAGAAGCAGACTCCCCGCCGAGCAGGGAGCCCGATGCAGGACTCGATCCCAGGACCCTGGGACCACGACCCAAGCCGAAGGCAGACTGAACCACCCAGGTGCCCAATAAATAAGTAAATCTTAAAAAAAAAAAAAAAAGACTTTTTTTTTTGCATTGAATTTTTCCAGAAATAAACCTACCACATAAACTAAGGAAATATTTAATTTTTTCTTTTTGTTCAGAATTTTACCAAGAGATTTTCACTGTTTCAGAAAATCATGTTACTGTGATCCTGCCAACAAAATACCCGGTTATCAGTCCACACTGCTCACTGTGGTTCTAGGCAGAAGTGCACGTTTAAATATTTCACGTGTTTAGCTGTGTCCAAGCATTTAAATACTGAAATACAGTATTTATTTCATGTGTATATGAAATAATACTTTCATATTATAATTATGACATAACACTATTTTTTAAAAACTATGTGTTGGAAAACTCTATGAGCTGGGACTTTCATTTCCCGCCTAGTAAAGAATCAGGTCTAAGAGGCAGGCACTGGGCTGAGGTTAAGAAACCATGAAGGGAAGAGCAAGGGAAGAGAGGCAAAGCCAGGGTCAAGCTCTGGGTCCCTGCAACACCTCACAGGTCGGGGGGAGGAAACAGGAGACTGAGACACAGCAGCCAAGGAGAATCTGAGTGGTGGGCGAGGCGGACTGCAGTGATGCCTGGGGAAGCCACTCAGATCTCCTTCACGACCAACACCCTCACTCTCTCACCTCCCAGAGGCATGAGACACTGCCAGCCCTGGGAGAAGTTCCATCTCAGGAAATGCCACTCACCCCTCCTGGGAATCGGCCAGAATTCATGACTGGGGAGGGGGTTCAGAGGCCCGGCCCCCAGGCCTCAATTCAGAACAAGTCAGAAGGGCTATCGGAGCTCCGGTGCCCCCCTGGGACCAGCTGAGGCCTCGGTGTGACTGCACGGTGGCTCCATTTCACTCTCTGCCCAATCTGCCCCCCCTCATTCCCCTGCAAGGGTGGTCCCTGAGATCACTCCCAGATAAACTTTCTGCATGCAATCCTTCAAGAGGCTGTTTCCCAAAAAGTCTGACCTAAAGCAGCAAAAACCTGGGAAGAAAAAAAAAAAAATCAAGTAGCGGTAACGTATGTTTTTCAGAGATCGAGCAATAGCAGCCAAAATAAGCATCTGAAAGAAATGAATGTTGCCTTTGGCAGGCAGAAAAATTATGATACGGGGCAGGGAGCAGAAGAACATCATGTTATAACAAATTTCACAACTGTCTTTAAACTATGTGCAATGATGACTTCGATAAACATTTTTTAAAAGGCTAAATTTAAATTAGAAAAAGGATTATGGGTAAAAGCGATCATTAAGAATGTTTAAGAAAGGGGCACCTGGGTGGCTCAGTCGTTAAGCGTCTGCCTCCGGCTCAGGTCATGATCCCAGGGCCCTGGGATCGAGCCCCGCATCGGGCTCCCTGCTCGGCGGGAAGTCTGCTTCTCCCTCTCCTACTCCCCCTGCTTGTGTTCCCTCTCTCGCTGTATCTCTCTCTGTCAAATAAATAAATAAAATCTTTTAAAAAAGAATGTTTAAGAAAATAGGAAACACACAACACCTGTGAATAGCAGTTAGCTCAAAGAGATGCGCTGGAGGCAGTGAGGAGAAAAAAATGTTAGCTTTTAACTTATAGCCCTGCAAATAGTCACTTCACAGGGGAGAAAGCTGGTAGCCGTCTCCTTAAGCAAATGGCCAAAGTTAACATCACAAATACCAGAAGTGACATCGTCATGCACATCCTTACGTGATGCGCTAACGAGGTGCTCCCGCCAGAACACATCACACCAGGAAGTACCAGGCAAACACTGAGAAACCATCTTAAAAAACGGGCCTGTTCTCTTCAAAGTCATCGAGATCAAGAAAGACACTGAGAAACGGAGACCCTGTTCCGAACAGAGGGAGACTAGAGAGACTCGACCCTGCCGTGCAGCATGAGTCCTTGCCAGGGAAGGACAACGGTTACTAGAAGGGACGATACTGGGGAAGGTGATGAAGTCTGAACACGGCCTGAAGACTACTGAATAGTGCACGGATGTTCGATTTCCTGATTTTGATGGTCGCACTGTGATCACGTAAGGGAACATTCTTGTTCTTAGGAAATATATACTCAACTATTTAGGGGTCAAGAGGCATGATGTCTTCAACTTCCTCTCAACTGGCACAGTAGGGGGGGAAATATATCTGCGTTTATAAATTAAATGGAAAGCGTAGGGGGCAGAAAGTAAATGAATGAGCGGGCAAAGGATATATAAGAGTTCCCTGTACTATTCTTACAGAATTCTTATGCCACATATCTGTATGTTTGCAAATATATCAAAACAAAACTGCAAAAAAAAATACAATTTCTAATTTTCAACAGCCTACTCTTTCTAATGGTTTACTAAGCCTTTACAGAACTTCAAAAATGCCTGCTCAGGCTCACGTGATGAGATCCTGGGGTCCCGAATGCCTCAGAAGGGCTCAGATAAAGGTGTTAAAGTCTCAGGATTCCAGGCAGCCTCCTCCCCAGCCCGCTCAGCCCCCGGCACCCTGCCCGCAGCCGGCTCACCTGCTGTCATGGTGTTCCCACGTTGGAACGCAGCAACATCTGGATGCGGCCGGCTGGCTTGTTCCCGATCTTGATGTCCATGTACACCTGAGGATTCGACCGGGCCTTTTTTGCCGTGGGCTCTCCCTGGGCGCAGAAGAAATGTCAGGTTGGGGAGCACTCTGACTCCGCAAATTGGAGAGCGGGTATTCTGCATACACACCAAGAACCCAAGTGCAGCGAGCGGGCTGCAGCAAGGTGCCGCCAGCCGGACCCCCAGGGCCAGGACCCCGAGCACCGGCTAACTAACCCGCACCCCCCCGACCCTGCAGGCTTGGACCACGTCCCACTCGCCCTCAGACACGCCAGCTCGCTGCACCCTGGCCTGCGGTCCCAGAACCCCAGCTCCCTGGCCCACAGTGTGTGCCTCTCCGCACCCGCAAACCCCAGTTCAGGGGCGCCTAGGTGGCTCAGTCGGTTAAGCGCCTGCCTTTGGCTCAGGTCATGATCCCAGGGTCCTGGGATCCAGTCCTAAGTGGGGCTCCCTGCTCATTAGGAAGCCTGTTTCTCCCTCCCCTTCTGCAGCTCCCTCTGCTGCTCCCCCTGCTTATACTCTGTCAAATAAGTAAAATCTTTAAAAAACAAAACAAAAAAAACAATCCCAGTTCAAGCCCACCCACCAGACTCCCGTGACAGGGACCCACAACCTTCTCCCTCTGTGCCAGGCCCTACAGATTCATAGCTGGCTGCAGTGGAAGCAGAACAGGCCGCGCTCGGGCTCGGGCCTGAGTGCCCAGGAAACAATGAGGAGGTTGGGGCTTGCTTTGTGCTCCGAGTGCACCGGGATGACTAGCTGATAAATACAACATTCAGTACAAACCCTATCATGTGTTTGCTAGAGAAAACCACGGTCTCTGACCTATTTGTGGTGTGGATTAATAGGGCAACGGATACGTACTGAGCTTGCAGGCCAAGTTCTGGAGTTGTTAAATAAGGCCCTTGAGGAACTGGCGACCCAGCAGGGGAGCGACATCTGCGAGTGCGGGAGGCACAGCGATCCCGCGGCTGCGCAGCCTTGGTTCCCATCGCGGTTCCCTACTCTGGAGCTGCGGGCTGTTGGACAAGTTATTAGATCTCCCTGTGCTCAGTTTTGTCACCTCGAGTTGGAAACAGTATTAGTACTTACCTCAAAGGATTATCGTTAGGATTGAGGTTTGTAAAGCCCTTAGAACAGTGCCTGGTATAAAGTAAGCAACGTTTAAACATCTGTCAAATAAATACTGTCAAAATAATGCCGTAAGAGCCCGGACTGAGGGCGCCCCAGGAGCCCCAGGGCCATGGAAGCCCAGAGGGGACCTTCACTTATTCCACTGGAGGCATCAGAAAAGTTTCCTGGAGAAGGTAGCATCTGAGCTCAGCGATGAAAGGTGAGTAGGAGTGAGCGAGATAAAGTCGGTTGGGAAGGGAACTTTTAGGCCAAGGAACTGCTTATGTGAAAACACAGAGATTTATAGGTACCCACAAACTCTGTCTTAGAATGCCAAATGGGGATACAATGTGGAGAGGTGAGCAGGGTCCGAACATGGAGAGTCCCTCTGTGCCCCTGAAGGAGCCCAGACTCACCTCTCCAGATGAGGAGTCCTCAGACAGCTTGAGAGCCATATGGTCAGCTCTGCCTTAGAAAGCTCCTTCTGGCTGCTCAGGACAGGAGCACGCAGGCCCGGGGCAGGCAGACCAGCTAGGGAGCTCCTGTCGCTATCTGCAGGGGAGATGACAGAGGCTCCGCCAAGCAACCGTGGCGGGAGCAAACAGGAGAGGAGAGATGCAGGCAGATGCAAAGGAGAACATTAGCAGGACATGGCAATGCAGTAGGTGTGGATTGTGATGAGGAGCCAGAGAGGACACGGAAGTCCCCGGTTTGGGGGACTGCAGAAGACACCAAAATTCACTCAGATGGGGTACTCAGGATGACCAGAGTGGAAGGAGAGAGGAAATCCACTTAGGACGTTACTATGTTGATTTATGGTGACTGGGAGAGAGGAAATCCACTTGGGATATGCTTTGTTGATTTATGGTGACTGGGAGTCATGCAGGCAGAAACACGTGGAACTCAGGAGAGAGGTCAAGGCTAGCCCTAAACATCAGGAATCAGCAGAAGGCTGAGTGGCTGTGATAAGCTCAGACACAGGCCACAGAGGCTGAAACTGCAAGGACAGCGTCAGAGAGAAGCCGAGAGCTAAGGGAAGAACTCGGAGAAACACCGCTGCTCCAAGGGTGGGCAGAGGAGGGGGAGCTCAGTTATTTACTCCCAGAAGCAATGGTCACGATGGGGTATCGAGAAGCAGGAGAAAGTGCTGAGGCAGGAAGCACCTGGCACCTGGGTACATTCTGAGGGGCTGGGGCCTCTCTGGAATCAGGCCAGGAATAGGAAGGCAGCGAGCCTGGTGCCAAGGTCTTCAGTGGGGGCGCGGGAAAGGTCAGGAGGATGGCAGAGGCTGGTGAGGGGGCATCCTCACTGTCCTTTCTCATCTCAGACCCCCACCTAGTTCAAGCAACCCCAAGCTGGTACCCAAGCACGCACAGGATACTTCTCACCTAGAGCCCCACACGGACATGAAAGCCAAGCTTCTCCATTCAATTCATCCAGCGCCGCCCACCTCAGAAGCGCCCTGGCTGGAAAGTGCCAGCCCCCCCCGCGCGGGGAAGCGCATGCCTTCGATCTCACCTCACCTCCCGGGTTTCCGCTCTGGGAGGCTCCGACCCTCCTTCCTCTTTATTCTCTTCGAGAGTCTTCCCAGAAAACTTCTTCAGCCAGTCATCATCTGCCCACGCTGACAGGAAGAGAATCGAACGAATGCTAACAAGTGCAAGCTTCTCGGCCAACCGCTGGCCCGCTGCGCCCGGTTCTTCGCTGCTCTGTCGACGAAGCGGACGGCCCGTGGGGCTGTCGCAGGCAGGCGCTCCTGCTTAGGACAAGGGAAGCCGTCCCTGGGAAACGGCAGGCCTTCAGGTCCAGCTCTCCGCAGAGGCAGAGGCAGAGGCAGAGGCGAGAAACAGAGGACTGAGCCGAGAGCCAAAAGGGAAGCCCCGGCCACCGTCAAGGCTGGAAGGGCACAGTCCGTGTCTACATCCCGGGGCAAGACTTTCCTGGGGACGACGGCTCTAGCTCTGCGGAGAATCTCAACCTCTGTTTCCACGGAGGCGCCGCATTCTCTTCTCCCCGGGAACATACACCGCCGCAGCAGGAAGTGAGACAGCGGAGGCCGAAGCTGAGGACGCGACGGGGAACCTGCGGTGGCCGCCGCTCGCCCGGTCTGGATGGGCCTTCCTTAATTCTCACCGGCTTGGCTAAGTGGACACGAACTGTCCGCCCAAAGAGTTCAATTCATTCTGAAAAGACTACAATACCACTCAGCTGCTTAAACCTTGTTGAAGTTAAAAAAAAAAAAAAAAAAGATTCCATTTACTTCTAAGAAATCTGAGACTTGCTCATGATTAATTCTATGCTGGGAGCCCACACCCCCCAACAGCAAGCTAAGCACAAAGCTAACCATAAACTGTCCCTGAGCCACCACACACTTCTTTTCTTTCAACACCAATATGAAGTTCTGTGCTAGCATGATCTTCGGATCTGAAATTATAAGGGTAAATGCAGTTACCGTGTATTGAGTCCGCCTTAAAAAAATCAAGATCAGGGGCGCCTGGGTGGCTCATCAGTCAGGATCTTGGGGTCCTAGGATCAAGCCCTGCAATGGGCTCCCTGCTTCTCCTTCTCCCTGCCCCCGGCTCTCCAATAAATAAATAAATAATAAATAAATAAAATCTTTTTTAAAAAAAACCAAGATCAGCACTAAATGGGAGAGAAACAGTATCGCTGGCTGGTGGGGAACATGTCTGATGAAACAGTAACAGAGAACATGGAACGATGTATAGGAATACTTTATTATCCAAGAATAACTGATACTAGGGAAAGGTAAGTAGATAGATTTTTTAAAAAGGTTTGTTTTGGGTCTTTTCATAAAAACTAAAAAAAAAATATGAAAAAAGATTCCTTAATTTAGTAAGAGAGAATTATAGCTATGTTCTTGTTCTCAGAAACACAGATGAATCAAGTACGAATTTTACTTCTAGCAATTAAGAAAAAATTGAACAAGGGCATGAAATATCCTTATTTCATAGTCATAAAGATTGATTATAAGGAGGGACACCTGGGTGGCTCAGATGGTTAAACGTCTGCCTTCAGCTCAGGTCATGATCCCAGGGTCCTGGGATCGAGCCCCACATCGGGCTCCCTGCTCAGTGGGGAGCCTGCTTCTCCCTCTCCCTCTGCCTCTCTCCCCGCTCATGCTCTATCTCAAATGAATAAATAAAATCTTAAAAAAAAGATTGATTATAAGGAAAATAAAAGATTGAACATAAAGATAAAAAAGGGGAGGGTGGAAACATTTAAGAGTTTTGTTGTGGGCAAAATAATGGTGCCCTCAGAGATGTCCACATCCCATTCCCCAGGACCTATGAATATGTAGAATTACATGGCAAGAAGGAAGTAAGGCTGCAGATGGAATTAAGGTCGCTAGTCTGCTGACCTTAAAGTAAGGATATCGTACTGGATTATTCAGATGCACACCCAGTGTAATCACAAGGGTCCTCTAAATGTGCAGAGGGAGGCAGGAGAGTTAGTTTCAGAATGATGCAGTGTGAGAAAGACTCACCGAGCCACCGCTGGCTTGAAGATAGAAGCGACCAGAAGCCAAGGAATGAGGTCAATCTCTACAATCTGGAACATGCAAAGAAACAGACTCTCCCCTAGAGCCTCCACAAGGAATGGAGCTCTGCTCACACAGTGAGACCCACTTTGGACTTCTGACCTCTAGAACTGTAAGATAATGCATTTGTGGTGTTTTGTTTTGTCTTTAAAGATTTTATTTAATTATCTGACAGAAAGGTGAGCACAAGCAGGGAGAGTGGGAGAGGGAGAAGCAGGCTCCCGGCTGAGAACAGGGAGCCGGATGCAGGGCTCGATCCCAGGACCCCGAGATCGTTACCTGAGCCGAAAGCAGACGCCTAACAACTGAGCCACCCAGGCGCCCCCATTTGTGGTGTTTTTAAAGCCACTAAATTGGTGGTAATTTGTTACAGCAGCAGTAGAAATTTAAATCATTTTCTCTTGAAGCACTCAGCCTATCACAATCCTTACAGGTTTTCTCTGGTTTAACTTTACAAGACAGCCACTTTTCTAGGGCTCAAAAGAGTCTCCGCTGTTGACAAGAGCCGACCACAGCAGTTTTCCATGATCGCTTTCACACGCCTCACGGAACCCTGCCTCTCGTGCCGGCTTCCAGTCTCACCTTTGTAATCCATGTACCTCTGTTTGCGGTACATCACCCTAGACTGGAGGCCGGCAAACTTTCCGTCAAGAGCTAGACAGTAAATATTTTTTGTGGGTCATCCACAGTCTCTGCTGCATATTCTTCTTTTTTTGCCCCACAACCCATTAAACGTATAAAAAAAAAAGAGTTAGCTCATAGGCCATACAAAAACAGGCTGCAGGCTGGATGTGGCCTGTCGTCCTTAGTTTGCTGACCCCTAATGTAGATACAAAAATGTCGGGGAGAGACTGGCCGACACAGGTGGTTGGCATTTATGCACACAGTCCATGGAAAGGCTTTCTTTTTTTTTTTTTTTAAGATTTTATTTATTTGAGAGAGAAAGAATGAGAGAGAGCACATGAGAGGGGGGAGGGTCAGAGGGAGAAGCAGACTCCCTGCTGAGCAGGGAGCCGGATTCGGGACTTGATCCCGGGACTCCAGGATCATGACCTGAGCCAAAGGCAGTCGCCTAACCAACTGAGCCACCCAGGCGTCCCTGGAAAGGCTTTCTGAATGAGAATTCATTTTATAAGTAGCCAATTCCCAGTGAATACTTTCAAATAATGACAACTTTTGTTTCCTAGATAACTTTGAAACTGTGGAAACTGGAAACATGATAGGCACCTGAGGGTCTCATGTCCCGTAAAGGAGCATCCCCATAACGGCTTCAGTAAAAAGCGAGTCTCAGCCAGACCAGGCTGTCGTTGCTGCTGAGCACCCTGCTAAGAGAATATGAGTTCATGCCCTCAGTCCCACTCTTCCTGTGGTTAGCACTCAAATAAAAGCTCCCTAGCACGAGCACATGGGAAAAAGACACACTTTCCCTTCCTACCTACCTGCCTGCCTAGATTAGACACGTTTAACAAAGAGCATGTACTAACTGCTTGTTAGAGCTGGTGATGCAAGGATGTGTGCTCAGGTTGTGGGAACAGAATACACAGAGGAATCGAGAACTAGCAATGCCAGGCCCCAGAAAGCTTGGGGCTCGGCAGGGTCTGTCTTCTATATTCTGCCTACATGAGGGGAACTATGAGCCAGGCCTGGTGGGCCTTCCTTCAACCAGAACGCCCAGTCCCTCGGCAATGGCCCCCACCAAACCAGGGTTTTGGGGGTTGAATAATGTCCCCCGAAATTTCATGTCCACCCAAATTTCAGAATGTGACCCTATTTAAAAATAGGGCCTTTGCAGACATAATTAGTCAAGATGAGGTCATACTGGATTAAGATGGGCCCTAAGTCCCATGACTGGTATCCTTATAAGTACAGGAGACGCAGACGCATGCAGGGAACGAGGACCTGTGAAGACAGGGGCAAAGACAGGGCTGACGCAGTTACAAGCCAAAGAATGCCAAGGACTGCCAGGAGCCACCAGAAGCTAAGGAGGGAAGGATTCTTCCCTAGAGCCTTCAGAGGGAGCCGGACCTGCCAACACCTTGATGGAGGACTTCCAGCCTGCAGAGTTGCAAGAGCTAAGAGAATAAATTTCTGTTGTGTGAAGCCACCCCACCTGCTGCTCTCCCTGCTTGTGCTCGCACGCTCTCTCTGACAAATGTCTTTCTTTTTATAAAAAAGATTTTATTTATTTGACAGAGAGCGCATAAGCAGGGGGAGTGGCAGAGGCAGAGGGAGAAGCAGACTCCCTGCTGAGCAGGGAGCCCGATGTGGGGCTCAATCCCAGGACCCCAGGATCATGACCTGAGCTGAAGGCAGACGCTTAATGACTGAGCCGCCCAGGTGCCCCATAAATAATAAAATCTTTTAAAAAAATGAAAATCTAGGGGCGCCTGGGCGGCTCAGTCGTTAAGCGTCTACCTTCGGCTCAGGTCGTGATTCCGGGGTCCTGGGATCGAGCCCTGCATCGGGCTCCCTGCTCGGCAGGAAGCCTGCTTCTTCTCCCACTCCCCCTGCTTGTGTTCCCTCTCTCACTATGTCTCTCCCTGTCAAATAAATAAATAAAATCTTTAAAAAAATAAATAAATAAAAATGAAAATCTAATTTTTAGATGCTTCCAAAAATATTAAAATCATTTTATTTTAAATAAACATAGCTAAACAGTGAATTTTTAAACTTTGTCATATCCAATTCTACCACTACAGAATTTAAGCCTTAAGTTACTTTCCAAGCATTTTAATAACTTTTGTTTATAAGACTTACAAAAGGTAGATAAGGTTATTTATCAGTTATTCCCTCCATTGGGTGGCTCAGCGGGTTAAGCATCTGCCTTCGGCTCAGGTCATGATCCCCGGGTCCTGGTATCGAGCCCTGCGTCGGGCTCCCTGCTCAGCGGGGAGCCTGCTTCTCCTTCTCCCTCTGCCATTCCCCCACTTGTCCTCTCTGTCAAATAAATAAATAAAACCTTAAAAAAATTATTCACTCCAACTGAGCACCAAATGAATACAGAGCGCTTACGTCACTACTGAGTTAGGTGACTACTAGTGAAGGGAGCCTAGTCCTGTCCTCAGGAAAACGTTATGTTAGCTGGCAGACAGCAAGAGCAACAGGAGTTACTAATTTATAGAATTCAGGGAGGGTACAGCCCCAGAAAGCCAGTCTTACTGTTTTATTTAAGAAGCAAAGAACTGAAGGCTCAGACGGTTTAAGTATCACACCCAGAGTTAGCGGCACAGCTGGGTCTAAAACTCCTCTATCTTCGAGAATAACACCCAAGGATCGCATAGAAACGTGTGCACGGTAACTGTGATACCATTTTAAGGGAAATTCCCTCGGGGTGAGTAGAGGCCAAGGCCCTCACTGCCGCAGCTGAGCTTCCCTGCCGCCCTCTGCTATTTAAAAGCACAGCTGCCAACAAGGGAGGTCTGATCAGCAGGTGTGGTGGGGTATAGCTCCCCAGCAGGTGGAGTGAAACAACACCCAGACCTTTCAAGATTTTTCTAAAACTACCTTCCTACTGAATCCTACTATACAGTTTGTTTATTAAATGATCAGAAATCAAAGGCCCCAAATGGCTCCAATGTGGAGAAAGCCTTTCCTCAAATCCAACAAACTGTCAATCTCTGTGAATTTCAGCCCATAGCCACACCACTATCCTGGCCCTGTGGTCCTCAGAACGTTCCTCTTCCATCACCAAGATCATAGTCATGTTGACCTAGAGAGGCATCCTCCTGAACTTCGTTACATACCAACCATACACAGGACACACATGACTTAAAATTTTTTCTGAAGTCCTTTTCCTGACATTAGGAATCTGAAAATGAGACACTGAGAGGCCTCACCTGTTTCACCAGAAGAAACTAAGTATCTGTGGTGTCTCCAAAAGGAATAAAAGCAGCATGAAGAACTTTGTTGTCCACCTCCTCTGCCAGCCCACCTGCAAAGACCACGTGCATCGTGCCTTCGGCACGATGCCCTCCACACTCTTGGTACAAGCTGCTGCAACACTGTTAGCAAGACAGCAGCAGGGAAGGGAAGGAGGAGTCCCCGGTCTTTCAGGTATACAAAATGACCTGGGAGGTACACTGCTCCCCCATCCCCTTTCAGATCTACATCTAGCCTCTGGTTACTCTGATACCTTCACTGCTTCCAGTTTGACTCTCTTCTATACAATCACTAGAATGACTCCAAGAAAGTGCAAATCGGATCACATCACTATCCTGCTTAATATTCTCCAACAGCTCATTATTGCCCACGGAACAGAGTCCAAATTCCTTAGCACGGCATATAAGAACTTCCTAACCTGAGCCCTGCCCACCTATCTATTGTTCTTTCTCCCTCGCTCCCTCAACACAAACCATTTGCCCCCAAATGTTGGACTACTTCACCCCTCCAGGCTCTTGCTGCTCTCCATTCAGGCAACAGCCTTACTCCAGATCTTTCAAACCCACCTCTGGCCTCTGTGCCTCGGGGCAGTTTGCCCTTCCCTATCCAGACGGAGTGCTCATTCCCTGAAACCCTCAGCCCGACCCTCCCATCAACACTGTCCATCAAACGCTCGCATCATGGTGCTCACCAGCCCCGGTAAAGATGTTTTCCATAATTCCCCACCTATTCTGTGAATTCCTTCCTCTAAGGGGCCAGGACTGCGGAGTTCATGGAATGAATGGGCATGAGAGTTTGGAATGCGGTCCGAGGTCACAATAATAGATCTCACCAACTCTCCGAGACCAGGGTCAGAGGGGAACGGGTTCTGGGCAGCGCTAGGCCCAGCAAAGCCCTTAGGTCGCAGGCGCTGCTCTCAGGCTGGGGGAGCAGAGCCACAAGAGACCCGCCCGGCTCGCTCCAACGGAGCCTCCACGCCCGCTCTACAACAAACAGCGCGGTCTAGGTGGCAGCCATCTTGCTCCCAGGCTCTTCCGCCGGAAGCTGTTGCTAGGCCCTGCCTCCAGACCCGCCCCCTCGTTGGCAGCGCACCGCGCTGTGCTCCTGTTCTGGGCAGGTGGATCTTGTTTTGGGGGGCACTCAGAAGGTAACAGAAAACGCAAACACATAGCCGCGTTAACCGACGAAGTCAGAAAATATGGGACTCTACTTCAGACCCGGACTTTATTTTATTTCTATTTCTTTTAATGCTGGTGTGATTAACATAATTAACAATGTTATATTTGTTTCAGGTGTACAATATAGTGATTCAGCGAATTCATTTACTGCTCTGTGCTCAAGATAAATGGAATCTTAATCCCCATCACCTATTTCACCCATCCCCCCACCCACCTCCCCTCTGGTAACTACAAGTTTGTTCTCTGTATTTAGGAGTCTGTTTTTTGGTTTGTCTTTTTGTTCGTTTTGTTTCTCAAATTCCATGTGAGTGAAATCATATGGTATTTGTCTTTCTCTGGTGTTTCACTTAGCATTACACACACACACACACACACACACACTTTATGCATTCGTCTATCAGTGGGCACTTGGGCTGTTTCCATAGTTTGGCAATTATAAACAATGCTGCAATAAACATAGGGATGCATGTATCCCTTTGATTTAGTATTTTCGGTTGTTGTGTTTTGTTTTAAGCTTTTATTTGCCCATTTCAGGGTGAGAAAGAGAACTATGGGGGCGGAGAGCAGAGGGAGAGAAGCAGAGCCAGCCAAGCAGGGAGCCCGATGGGGGAGGCTCCATCCCGGGATTCCGGGATCATGACCTGAGCCAAAGGTGGACACTTAACTGAATGAGCCACCCAGGCGCCCCAGTATTTTTTTATTCTTTAGGTAAATACCCAATAGTGTGATTAGTGGATTGGGTAATTGTATTTTTTTATTTTTGAGGAATCTCCATATTGCTTTCCAGAGTGGCTGCACCAGTTTGCATTACCACTCCCAGTGCACAAGTTCCTGTTTCTCCAGATCAACACTTGTTTCGTGATTTTCGCCATTCTGACAGATGTGAGGTGGTATTTCATTGTCGTCTTGATTTGCATTTCCCTGATGAGTGGTGAACATCTTTCCATGTCTACTGGCCATCTGTGTTTGGAGAAATGTCTGTTCGTGTCTGCCGCCATATTTTAATTGGATTATTTGGTTTTCCTTCCCTTTTTTTTGGACTATGCTCTATGCCCAACATGGGGCTCAAACTCACGACTCTGAGAGACTAAATGTTGCATGTTCTACCAACGGAGCTAGCCAGGTGCCAAGTTGTAGTTCTTTATATATTTTGGACCCTAACCCTTTATTGGATGTCTACAAGTATCTTCTCCCATTCAGTAAGTTGTCCCAGTTTTGTTTTCTTTGCTGTGCATAAGTGAATCAGGCCTTTACTTAAGGTGAGACCAGACCTTAAAGAAAATGGGGAGTCTGCTAACTGCTAAGAGGGAAGAATATTCCAAGGAAAATGACCCCTTGAGTAAGGTCCCAAGTAAAGACAGCCTGCCAGATTTCAAGGAAGGTAAAAAGTGTTCCTAGAGGACAAGGAGGGCAAGTAGACTGGTTGACCTTGGCCAGGTGAGGGCTGTTTTGAGGACTAAAGGAACCACAAAGTGCTTAGGACTCCAGCATTTGTTGGCTGTTGCCACTCAGACCTAGCCCCAAGCCTTTTCCCATTGCCAGAGGAAACCTTAGTTGTGTAATCAACTGACTGCAGAAGAGGGGACCCATAAATGCCAGCTAACACAACCAAGGAGGGAGGGCTGGGTTCCTTCAGACATGACCCAACCCTACCCTGCACCCAGTTCTGTGTCAGACCCAAGGTCTGCTATGATCAGATTTCTACAGGTTCCTACAGGTTAAATGGGGGTCCGTTATAAAGGTCCTCCCACAAGATAACTCAATGGGACAGTTCTGTATACCATTGCTAATAGTCTGTTTATAACCCATCAGGAAAGGACAAGCTATACAGAACTTCATTTGACTCTAAATACATCCTAAAATTACTTCCATGTGAAAACTGGATTTAACAGTAAAACTGGTCAGAGTGAAAACAGTACAGGCAGTTTTATGGAGATTTTTTTCTTTATTGAGAAACTTAAGACTTGGGTACATCAAATAAAACCAATTTCTGGGGGGAAAAAAATCAAAACCCACAATAGAAAAAAAAGTTAACACTGTCTGGGCCATAGCAGAACCCAGAGAAATATATTCTTTTAATTGAAAAATTCTAGGTGCTTCATAATTGACCTTTTGATACAAAATGACCTATTAAATTTCCAATTTGTGGTTCTTGGTGTTCAGGTCCATAGGACACGCTAGAAATCTTCAAACCTTGAGCTGAATTCCAGGAGGGGTTATTTGGCTTTTGAATCCTGAAAAGAAAAGCACCAACACAAATTAAATACAAAATCAGAAAAACCTGAGATGCACTGAATCTCCGGCTTATAAAAAGGTATTGCGAGAGCAGTGCTTCCTGACATTTGGGCAGGACGATTTTGTTGGGGCTGTCCTGTGCACTGTGGGACATTTAGCAGTATCCCTAGCCTCTACCCACTGGATGCCAGTGACACATCTCCAGTTGTGACAACCCAAAATATGTCTCCATTGGCAAATGTCCTCTGAGGGGGAACTCCTGGCTGATAATCACCCACTCTGAGGCTAGCTAGGTACTATAAAGCCCCACGCCCTTCCTGGCCACCCTGTACTCAAAGCTACCATTCTCTTGCTTAAATCCAAATGAAGGGTCTGGGCCCTTACCATGTGTCCTTTCCCCTCACCTCTGGCTCTGGTTTATCTGGTCCTCTCCTTCCTCCATCAGGAGGCACCCGCCAGTCCTGGTCATAGGTCCTAGTTAAGCCTCACTCACCCCCGCCAGGGTCAGAAGTGGACTAGAACACACCCTGTAACTGTAGTCAGGTGTATCTGTCTCTCCCACTCCGACACCAGAGCCCAGGGCCCATGCCCCTTGTGCTCCCAGAGGCACGCAGCAGCTGCACACACAGCTGCCCTCACCAACCTCAAGCCAAACCAGGGAGATGTGTTCATAGAAATGAGGCTGTAGGATCTGATTATGACGCCTTGTTTATCTGTCATTATTCTAAACCAAAAAGGTCATTCATCTAACCAGGGGCTCCTTCTACAGAAAATTGCTCCTTATAGTTTACAACCTGTTCTCTCTTTTCTCCAAATTAACTCTTCCAGATGACAGACAGAACCCAGGTGACTGCCTGTAAAAGGTACCGGGTTATAGTGGCTCTATATGCTGTCCCTAATCTTTTAGGAAGATAATCACAAGTCAAAGCCATTGCAGAAAACAAAAACAGCCGAACATACGGTTGTTCCTTGGCTAAGAGGTAGCAGCGGCAACAGCGCCCACCTTCTGGGCAGCTTCTTTCTTGGCATGATGAGCCTGCAGAACCGCCACAGCTTCATCCACCTGTGAGCAATCTCCAGGTGGTTAGTGACATCTGAGCAGAGGCCCCCGGCCCCACCCCGGCACACGGGCCCAGCAGTGGTGTTGCCGGGTGCTGCCCGCTCCTCCTAATTCCCACCCACAGCAGCTCTCAAGTCACAGGCGAGGCGAGGCGAGGCGAGGCGAGGCGCGACGAGAGAGTCGGGAGACAGCAGACCCGCCTCCCCCTGTAGGGCCTCGGGACCAGCTCACCTTGGAGCGGAGCGACTCGGGGGACTCGAGCATGTGCAGCAGCTCAGAGTTGTCGATCTCCAGCAGCATGCCCGTGATTTTCCCAGCCAGGTTTGAATGCATGGTTTGGATGAGCGGGAACAAACGTTCTCCTGGGGGAGGAGATCTAATTAAAGCCCAGGGTGAATCCCAGTGAATGGACACTGGTGTCTGGGTCAGTGCCAGGCTCTGGCCCCCTCTCCTGCAAACACAAGGCTCACTCACCCAGCATCTGCTTTTGCTCCTGGGGGGGCGCTGCGGCCAGCATGGAGGCAGTCAGGGGCTCCTGCCCCTGCACATGGACCGCAGGCTGCGGCGCCTGGGAACCAGGAGAGACAGCAGGTTAGCA